GGGGGGGGGGGCAATCCATCACTTCTGTGGTGAGGGGTGATGTCCTGACGGTACTGACCGAGCCCGGGCCTTGGCATCACCAGGCCCGTTTTCATTCAGGATTTGCTTGTTGGGCTGGGATGTCATGCTGCTGCAATGATTTTTGCCTTCTTATGGGCGAATTTCACTTCATGTGACTAATCCATCGGGTGACTCGTGTGATATCCACGTGGGTAGGCGCTTGCTCACAGCAAGCTCAACTTCCCCATGGGATACGGAGCGTGCTCTTTCACTTGCTGTAAATGGCCCTTTTACAAGAGTCTCCGGCCTTGTGTTGGGGTGGAAGCCATCATGCTGCCGCTGATGGTTTTATAGGCAGCAACGCCTTCCTCGCAACGCTCACCGCCTGCAAAGTTAATGGTAAATTTGAGTCTTGACTTTTTTCAATTTGGAAACCACTCTTCTTGAAAGGCAAATAAAAGATTTCTGAGACAACTGAAGAATTTTTTTTTCCCAAACTGACTTTATTGACAGATAATCTCGTAACAGCAATTCTATCACCAAAGTGAAGGAAATGTTAAAAGAGAAAAACAGAATAAAACACATTCTGCTTGCAGGTCCTTAGGCAAATTACGGTAAACAGTAATGTCACTCACACAATATTGTTTTTTTATTAACTCATATTCAGTTCTGAGTGGTATTGACAGAAAATCACATGATCACATAATTCCTTCACCTAACACCACCTGTTTTGCCACGAGATATTATTTTAAATACAGCCAATTTAATTGGAATAGAAGTCAACAGAACAGCAGATTCTGACACAAAATAATTACAAAAGTACTAGCTAGGTATGTCCACAATAGCTAAGGGTGTAAGAATATCAGAATTTTGACAATTTTCACAAACAGTAATGCATATTTGCAGTGACTTGAAGATGATACTGATAAAGGTTGAAATAAACCATAAAACATGTTATACAAATCAGTACGTGTACTTATGATAAGGGAGTGGCTTAAACACATTATAGGTGAAAATCTCTCTCTCTCTCCCTCTCTCTCTCTTCCCCTACCTTTTTTTTTAAGGAAAAAAGGCACACTAATCCACGCACACAAATGAAATGGTCCACCCATCACAGTACAAAATTGTCCTCTTGAGACTAAAAATGAAAAGAAATGCAGATGACTCAGAAAACTAGATGATTTCAACAAGAAAATGAAAATGATGATATGTTGTACAATGTACAGTTCAACAAAAACATACTATTAATTATTATGAAGTGTCTATGCATAAATTAAAAATTGAAATGATTCTAGTGATGAAACAAGAAGTCAATTTTGTACACAACTTGATGACTAGTCACAACAGGTGTAGAAATTTTAGTTAAAAAAATATAAAATCTCCCTGAGGGTTGGGCCACACTATTTTATCATATTGAATAGCACACACACATAGCTTTAATAATGTTTGAGAACAGGGAAATAGTATTTTCCTAGTTAAATGTAAATCATCTTCTGTATCCCTGCTGGGCAGGATTACTCAAGAAAGCTAGATGTCCTTTAGGACATTTATTAGCATAGTGTCCTTTGCAGCCACACTGTGACAAAAAAACCATATAGTTATTATATAATTAAAATACCAGACCCAAAAGAACATTTACTGCAGAGTTTGATTTTCTAAGTATGAATGGTTAGGATAATTACCTTGAAACAGGTGACTTCTTCCAAGGGTTTTAGAGGAGGTCTCTCCATATTTTCTCTTGTATCCATACTTTCCATAGGTGCATTTGACATTGGATGGCTCCTTGGATTAGGCGCAAATGGCAATTTGTTCTAAAAATTTGTGGAGAAATGAGAAAAATTAATTATTTCCTTTCAAATTTTATGGTTACATCATATAGTAGTAGGGCACAAATTTTAATTTCTTACCTTATAATCTTCATTTTTATAAGGGAAATCTTTCATCTCAGGTGGTAATTGCTTACAGTACAAAGCTTTATGTCCGTGCTCACCACAATAATGACATGTTATGATAATTTTTTTCCCATGATTGGTCATAAGTTCAGCAGCCGGTAGTTCAAATCGAGGACTATAAATTGAAAAGACAGATACATAGATAGATAAAAATTAAGTAAACTTTTGAATGAGATTAGCTGATGCTGAAGATGACATGAAAACTTACTGCATAAACTTGCACTCTGGACCATCTGGACAGAATCCAGCAACATAATTCATGCAGAGCACTCGGCGTACATGACGGTGTCTGCAATTGGGTCCATGCCTGCAAAATCCTCTCTCATACCATGGACAGTCTTTCATTTTACTTTCCGGGTCAATGTGAAGGAAGGGACATTCCTTGTTATGACAGGCATCTGAGGAAAAATACAGAATATTGAAAAGAGATACAGAAAAAACACTAGTGTATTTAAGCAGAAAATTAAAAATGAGGTACTTACTGAATCGAGAATAAAAGTAACACTCTGGCATTTTACTCATATCATATTCATGAAGAAATTCACATTGGTCTCCTTTCTTGCAGAGACCACGAAGCCAATGTTTGCAAACAATTGTGCGATCTCCTCGGACATGGCGAAATGGACACAGTGCTCCTTTAGTACATGTTCCTCGGGGATAAAATTCGCACACTGCTGCAGTGGACTCTATTTGAGGCAAAAACAAAGAGTATTAGAATTATAAACAGCAAAGCAGGCATTCCGGATACATTTAAATAGACGAAAATAAAACAGTTGATTTGAGAAGAGGACCACAACATTGGTTAAACTGATAAAAACAGCAAAATAAAATTAAAAATAATAAAAATGTTCTTTAGTGAGGTTAAGTGGTTTGCACTGGAAGCATAGTTATAATTCAAAGTTGGAATGAATGACTTGGAAATTATATGGCAGTGTACAACTTGAAAGGTGAATGGTATTTCATAAAATGAGATAGCTTACTACGAGCATAAACTAAAAGAATTAACTTACTATCCATTCCCGGGAAAGGAAGCGGTGCGGCTCCATACTGCTGTTCTAGCTGAAGTTCTATATCAAATTTGATGTCATCGACGCTGGCAACAACGACTTCCATTGTTTCAACAAATTCTTCCGAATAAAAGCAAATTTGAGGACAATTTAATCAAAAATTTACAGAACTACAAGCGGCACAACGGCAACCATCCAGGACATGTTGTGTTTACCACCACCACGAAGACGGTTCGATTCGACTATTTGCAGTGAAGCTGCGTTTAAATCTAGTGTATCTTCTCTTTCCAACGTCGTTGGTGCAAGTGATACAGACACTGTCTTTTCGCACGTGTCCTTATCAATCCCCCACCATTTCTTCGATACATCGACCCGGATAGTCGATCAAAAGAGTGTCGTCCGCTCGCGTCGTCTGCTAAGTTGAAACAACTTGCGTCGTCCATCCATAACCTTGCAGGGCCGAGTGCTAGGGAAGAGTGCATGGAACAGCTCAGCGTAGTCGGGCCGCTGCAATCTGCGCGAACGGGTAATTAAGGTCAATATAGGCCAAGTGCCGTTGTTTTGAGTCTCCTCAACCCAAGCAGTACCATCCGATCGACTGTCAGAACAAGTCAGAGCGTGACGAGAAAGCTGCAGATAGGTCTCCAAGTGTGTCGAATTTGCGATTTTTTTTTATGCACTGACGATGACGTTAGGCCTTTATGTTGTTAGACATGAATGAAATGTTAGTTACAATTTCACATTTCTTTGTGGACAATGTTAAGAGATTTTAGACCATTTACCCTTTTCTAAATACAACTTCTTACGTAATCAGGCATAATTCACTGGCATTATTCTATGGGTATTGATTGAAAATTACTTCTAAAACTTTAATAATTTGCAACTCGTCTCATTTTTATCATCATTGGTGAATGTCAGGAAAGGGTTGTCTCTGCCTCACTTAGACCATTCTTTTTGCATGTTTGGTCATTGCTTCCATAATCTGTATCAAATTTAGTGCATACTGCCCAAGCCTAGATTACTGTCTAAGGGCTTTAAGCCACTTAATCTTATCTCGTCTCTTACATCACTCTGCTCAAAAGCATTCTCATACTGAATAGCTTGCTTATTAGCTAGAGCTGTTACAATCTGCTCTTTAAGTCAGCATCCAGAGCCAAAAGACAGTTACTTTTCTACACCAGAAAGAAAAGCTTAATAGACAAAATTCTATAGTTCTATGAAGCGATTACATCATTTTCACTGCTAAGTAATATTTTGTGTGTTTTTGCTGCCTGTCTTTTCGAATCGGCCTTTCATGTTAATATTGTTGGGGCCATTTTTCCTTTTATTAATGATCTTTTTTGTTTTAATTTTTAGATTTTAAAAATGGGAGACGTAATTTTTGGAACTGCAGACTATGCTGTCTTTGCTATCACTCTGTTAATATCTGCCAGTATAGGTGTCTACTATCGATTTACTGGTGGAAGGCAAAAGACCGCTGTTGTGAGTAAATCACAGGATGTATTGATAATGTGTTTCATAACTTGTAAAAATATTAAAATTTGTCCATTTTGATTTTAGGAATATCTCTTGGCTGACAGAAATATGGGTATCATTCCAGTCGCATTTTCTTTGATGGCGAGTTTTATGTCAGCCATTACTTTGCTTGGTGTGAGTGCAGAAAATTACTCATATGGCACCATGTTTGTTGTTATTAATTTATCATATGGGATATTCACGCCAGTTGCTGCATATTTATTCTTGCCTGTATTTTACAACTTGCAAGCAACAAGTGTTTATGAGGTTTGCTCCTAAATAGGAATAAGAATTTTAATTTAACTTTTT